CAGTAATGCATATAAACTTATTTCATTTGCTACGATAATATAGTATGCTTTTTGTGTTCATAGTTCTATCATGATATATTTTACTATCATAATATAATATTTCCTTCGAGATCGCAAGAATCTAAGCGTACAGATCATCTGAAACTCAACTAACGGCTGACCTTGAAGTTCGTGAGATACGAACTGAAATATCCACACTCAGGTCATGCGGTTGACTATATTGTTTGGGTTATGTATAGACAAACCATGTCTTATGCTGGTTTTAGTGTTACTATTACAATTTGCCCTGAAGATGATGATTAACGCCACCGGGGCAAATATCGACATGAAAATTAGGACCTGATTCGTCTATGGCTGTTTATCATTAATAGCAGTAGATTTGTTCAGACTATCAGGAAATAAAAGCGATTTAGCCAGATTATTGTCCAGTATTCTTCCTGCTAACCTTTGTTATTGTTGCTCGTTAGAATTTATGACGTTATCATATATGCTTTCTTTATTTTGAACTAGCGGCGTCCCAACAGTAGTTGCTCACATTTCATGTGGAAATTCAGCTTTTGATCAATGTTCAGAAAATAAGTGCATTGCCAAGAGTAAAGTCTGTTTTATGTGAATTATTTTTCAGGAATCTTTTTTTAGATTAAGTTTTTGTTCTTTAATTTGTTTTTTGAAGTGAGTGTTTAAAGAACATGCTCTCAGATTCTTGCACCTAACGAATATATATGCAATGATGCTGTTGCTTATAAATCAGAGCTATGGCATAATCTAGTGTCTGAGCCAGGAACTGATAAATGACAATGATGAACAACATGGACGCTTGTTAGATCAATTTCCCTAGATCACATGAATTAAATTTATCTGCTTTCCTTGCATCAACCCCTCTGTAAGTACCGCGAGTTACGTTGATGACACCTGGGATTAAAATCAGGAAACAGTTCAAGATTTTCTTCTTTATTCGTTTCAGCCGTCTTAAAAACTGTAATTCATTTTATTATTCATCCCTGTTTGAGTCAATTGATTCTTCGATATCATGTTCGTGTCCCTTTATACGGACAGCGTCCTTCACAACCACCATTTCATGTTGACGTTACGAGACCAACATAACGTCTTGTAGATTTAAGCTTTTTCCACCTTGTATTTCGATACAATTTTCATTTTCATATCTATATATGTTACAGGTTACGCACGGGTTAACTTATTCCACTTCTGTTCCTTTTTCTACTTATGACTGCATTGCGCTGCAGCGCATGCGAACACCAAATGTTATTATGCTGTGTAAGTACAGAGAGAGTACATCCGTGTTCAGTAGAGCAGATCTAGAGGGACTGAGAACGGCACACGCTGGCACTGCGTAGAGTATCTGCATTGCGAAAACGGCTGAGAGGTAGCCTACAAGTAACACAGTCGCATTAAGTAAAGCTCTAGATTTTTTCCACAGTCCGTTCAGCATAATTTCTGTAAATCTGAATTTGAGTAATTTGAGACTCTCAGAATATAATGTTATTATTGTCCACAACAAAGTCTTGCGCTGTTTTCGATTTTTTGTTATATACTGAAATCGATTGTAGGCCTTTATTTATATATTTATTTAATGGCGTTGCTTTAAAATTGTGTCTGCTTTCAGCAACAGTTGCCGTCGGTGATGGTGCACGCCTACTTTGCACCGGCTACCCCTCCGGTTCAGCAGAGAAGTTCGCAGTACCGTTATTGTCGATGTTGCGCAATTATCTGACCTCGGCGCCGCCGATCACACCAGCCTTCCGTGCGAGTCCTCGCTCGCTTCGAATTAAAATTTTTCTGTTTCACCTTAACAGTTATTGCATCACTTATACTGTGAGGTAAAATCATTTCATGTGTAAACTCTTTGCGAAAGCTGGTAACAAAGTTGCTTATGAAGAATACGAGTTTTGGCTTAAAACTTTGTAATTGAAAATTGTCAAAATCTACGACATTGTCATATATGCAAACAATGTAACTTGCCTTTTCGATATGAAACGGATACATACGAGTAAAATATTTTTCTGCCAGGGCCATGCGGCTTTTTTGCAAGTTCGAGCCTAGTTATGTACTTTGTACCAGAATATGTTTGCTGTTTTTCTAAGCGTAAAATTAGCATCAATAAAAATTTTATCCAAAAATTGTGCTGCTTTTCTATGTGAAATGCGACTACGTTTTTTCATTATGGTTGAATAATCGCTGCCTGCCTATCGGCAGGTGGCTGCGCACGCGTCAGAGTGTGTGAGTACAACTGTTGCGATATTGTTCTTTTTCAAGCTTCCATATATCGCACGATTTCAGACAGATTTTTTTATCGTGTTTGTAACGAGGCGCTTACCTCCGTTTTTGTGCCATTTTTATGCATTTCGTTCCAACAAAGTTTTTAACCTCATGCTGCCATCGATGTGGAGGTCTTCCTATAAATCGCTTGTTCTTTCTAGTCTAGTAATGGTCGGTTCTTCTTTCGGCGTCATAACTCAGTCCACTTTAAATTATCACTATGGCAGTGATATCGCAGACTTATTTCGTGTTCCTATCGTGGACAAAAGAAATGTTACACTAAATAATAAACGAAGACTCACGGATGGCCTTCAAGATGCTCGGCCTATGTGAGAAGAGACGAGGAGATAAGGCAAAACAAAGGGCATCGGTAAAGGCGGCAATCCCCTTTAACTAGAAAGAACAGTGGGCCGGCGAACATAAAGCGAATTATATTTGTAATCAGAAGAAGTCGGTACCCAATAATTGTCTCCGTTCATGCTAAGTCATCATGGTTGGGCTTGCTATGCTTTTAAACGAACAGTCGAAAACCTTGAAGATCACTTCAATCAATGCTCGAACAAGTACAGTTAACCAGGATGAAAAGGAAGAATTCTGTCAAGAACCGGTATAGGCATTCGTCCAAAAGTCCGGGTACAGCTTCAATTAGGGAGGTCTCAATGCCAAGGTTGGGCGAGGAGTTTCCGGCAGAACGTTTGGTACAAACGGAAAACGGAGAG